CATAAACACAAAAGATGAAGTCACGTCTGACCCTGAAGAAATACAAAAGATCATTAGAGACTACTACGTACACTTGTATGGAAACAAACTTGAAAACCTAAAGGAAATGGAGGACTTTCTGACATCACACAACCTACCTAGGTTGGAACAAGAAGAAATTGAGACCCTAAATAGACCAATAACATCAAGGAAATCGACTATGTAATAAGAAAACTTCCTACAAAAAAAAGCCCTGGTCCAGATGGCTTTCCAGCAGAATTCTACAAGACATTTAAGGAGGAGCTGATACCAATTCTACTGAAGGTATTCCAGGCAATTGAAAAAGATGGAACTCTCCCCAAATCATTTTACGAAGCCAACATCACATTGATACCCAAGCCAGGTAAAGATCCAACAAAGAAAGAGAACTACAGGCCAATATCTTTGATGAACATAGATGCTAAAATTCTCAACAAGATCCTAGCAAACCGAATTCAGCAATACATCTCAAAAATCATCCATCATGACCAAGTAGGCTTCATTCGTGGGATGCAAGGCTGGTTCAACATTCATAAAACCATAAATGTAATTAAATACATCAACAGATGTCAAAACAAAAACCACATGATCATATCACTAGATGCAGAAAAAGCTTTTGATAAAATCCAGCACCCCTTCTTGATAAAAATCCTCGAACATCTAGGCATACAGGAAACATACCTCAAAATAGTAAAAGCCACTACGAGAAACCCACAGCCAGCATACTCCTAAATGGACAAAAACTGGAACCATTTCCCCTGAAAACTGGAACAAGACAAGGATGCCCACTCTCACCCCTCCTGTTCAATATAGTATTGGAAGTCATGGTTAAAGCAATCAGAGGAGAGAAGGCAATCAGGGGTATTCAAATAGGAAAAGAGGAAGTCAAACTATCTCTCTTTGCAGATGACATGATTGTGTACCTTGACAACCCAAGAGAATCTGTCAAAAAACTTCTTACACTGATAAAGGACTTTGGCAAAATCTCAGGATATAAAATAAATATGCAAAAGACAATCGCATTTCTTTACACCAATAATAAAGAAACAGAAACTCAAATATAAACCACAATTCCATTCACAATATCCACAAAAAAAAAGAAATAAGTTGGCATCTTCCTAACCAGAAACGTAAAAGACCTTTACAATGAAAACTACAAAACACTGCTCAAAGAAATCAAAGATGACATAAACAAGTGGAAAAATATCCCATGCTCATGGATTGGAAGAATCAACATTGTGAAGATGTCCATCCTACCTAAGGCAATCTACAGATTTAATGCAATACCCATCAAATTACCAGCAACATTCTTCTCAGACCTAGAAAAAACAACACAAGAATTCATATGGAAACACAAATGACCAAGAATAGCCAGAACAATCCTCAGCAAAAAACAAACAAAAGTAAGTGGTATCACGTTACCAGACTTCAAACTTTACTATAAAGCTACAGTCATCAAAACAGCTTGGTATTGGCACAGGAACAGGCATATAGACCAATGGAATAGAATTGAGATTCCAGAAGCAAAACCTCAATTTCTCAACCAACTCATCTTCGACAAAGCCTCCACCACCTGCCACTGGGGAGAGGAGAACCTATTCAGTAAATGGTGCTGGGAAAACTGGCTGACCACATGCAGAAGATTGAAACAGGACCCCTATCTATCCTCATACACAAAAATTAACTCTAAATGGATCAGAGACCTAAATGTAAAACCTCAAACCATAAGAACCTTAGAAAATGAAGGACCTACCCTCATGGAAATTGGAACTGGCATCCATTCCTGAACAAAACCCGAAACCCACAGGCCACAAGAGATAAGATAGACAAGTGGGACCTCATTAAACTGACAAGCTTCTGCAAAGCCAAAGAAACCATCAAGAGAGCAGGGAGACAGCCTACAGACTGGGAAAAAGTATTTGCCAACTCCAGGTCTGACAAAGGCTTAACATCTTGGATCTACAAGGAACTCAAACGTGCTGAACAGAGAAAAACAAACAACCCCATTATAAAATGGGCAAAAGATATGAACAGACACTTCTCAAAGGAAGACATCCGAGCAGCCAACAGACACATGAAAAAATGCTCAACCTCACTGATCATCAGGGAGATGCAAATCAAAACCACACTGAGATACCACCTAACTCCAGTCAGAATGGCAATTATCAATAACTCAAAAAATAACAGTTGCTGGAGAGGGTGTGGCGAAAAGGGAACACTTCTACACTGTTGGTGGGAGTGCAAACTAGTGCAACCTCTGTGGAAAACAGTATGGAGATTCCTAAAAGCTCTAAATATCGACCTCCCATATGACCCCGCAATCCCCCAACTGGGCATATACCCTGAAGAACTCAAATCACTCTATAAAAAAGATCCTGCACATGTATGTTTATTGCAGCATTGTTCACAATAGCAAGAACCTAGAAGCAACCATGCTGTCCATCAAAAGAGGACTGGATTTTAAAAATGTGGTACATATACACGATGGAATACTATGCAGCCATAAAAAAGAAGAAAATCATGAATTTTGCAGCAACCTGGATGGAACTAGAGTCAATAATACTAGTGACCTCTCATAGAAACAAAGATCTGAGTATCACTGTTCTCACTCATATAGTGGACCTTGAACATCCAACGTAATACTATAAGAAAATGACTGACAGTGGTGGAAAACTATGGGGGAGAGGGGAAGGGAGATGGGATTAACAGTAGTAAATATCTGTCTTGGGACAGAGAGACACCTCTTATCAACAAGGGTGCCTGAACGAAGCATATTCGTATACCTAACCCTTAACTGTACCCCACAAAATCATAATAAAAAATATCGATTAAAAAAATAAAAAATAAAAATTACTTAGTCAATGAGGAGGAGAAAAGCACTCTAATTTTTAAAAATCAAGTGGCAGACATGAAAAAATAATTAACAAAAGAAATACAAGTGACTAGTAAGTATATGAAAAAATGATAAGAATCACAAATACACGCAAGTTAAAACAACTTGATGCTATTTTACCCAGGAGATTAGCAAAAATTAAAATTAAATAACCTGTGTTCTTACATTGATTTTGATTGCTAATAGTAGAAAATGTAGTTCAATGTGGTTTGAGTACAAATGACTTTTATTGGTTCAGAAGCAAAAAAAGTCTGTGGTGAATGTGGCTTCAAAAATAACTCGACATTGTACTCAACTGATAGCATCAGTAGACAATTTGTCTCCATTTATTGGCTATGGTCCATGGTGTTAACATTAGTCTCCAGCTCCACATAATAGCAAGATAGTACCACATAATGGGCTCCTGCATTCTTCTATATTTCAAGTCAAATTAGAAAAAAACTCGAAAGTCTTATTTCTAGGCGTATAAGTGAAACCCTTATTGCAAGACTTTGGCTTTGATTGGGTCATTGCCGCCACCAGGATGTGTGCATTTCCTGGTTTAGATCTGGCTGGGTCAAAGAGCTCCAGTCCTGATGTCGGCAGCAGAAGCAGGGTCACTAGACCAACACTGGGAGATAGTAAATTAGGGTACTGTTTCCATAAAGGTGGATATTTCAGGCCCCAAAGCTACAGAAGCCTATTGGAATTGGCCTAAGGGGAATAAATGAGCACTCATATTCTGGTAGAAAAATTCAACTAGAGAATAACCTTCCTAGATAATAATTTCATAGTGCATATCATAAATTCTTCAAAAATGTTACACTTTTGTATTTAGCATTTTTATTTCCAAAAGTTTATTCTACAGAAATAATTAAATATATGTATAAGAATGCACATACTAAAATACCATAAAACGGAAGAATATCGAGTTCTAGAAAAAATGATATATATTTATTTCCATCAAAAGACAGTTATAAATGGAAAATGCAAGTTAACGAGTATCCATAATAACATCTTTACAAAATGAGTAAGTAGGTATATGTAGAAAAATATTCTGAAAGACTAAAGAAAATATTTTTAACAATGACTATTTCTACATCTTGGGACTATGTGTGATATGTAGTTCATAATTTCCTGCTTTTTTGCACCTCTAATATTCCTAGCACAATCATTAATTTCTTTTCTGCCAAAAAAGAAAAAAAATGGAGTGACTGGGGTCAACAGCATCTCTAGTTTACATCCTTCTCAGCATTCAGTGGATTTGTACATGCTAGTGATTATGATTCATGAGTAATTAAAGTTGCAAGGACAGATGGAGGAGAGTTGTGATTTAGCAGGAAAAAACATTTTCCTGAAATGTAAGCCTTAGCCACAGGTGTTTATCTAGTTTTACATCTGGGAAGCAAGTACTCTTGTGGCCATCCTAAGTCACCATAGACTCAGAATCCACCCCTAGTGGTGACACAAGAAAACTCAACTCTACAATGATTAATGGAAAACAATGTCAAGAATCATTTTTATTCTCTGAAAATAAGTGAAATATATAAAGAAAAAATATGAGGTCAAACCTGGTGTTGAAAACTATTCATCTAGTACTATTTAAATGGGCAGTTTACTAAGTAAAATCTAAGCCAGGTGCTTTCATTTCTGAAATGGCTCCCTAGTGGCCTAGAGTAAAAATATTTTTTATGCACATATCAGATGCTTAGATTAGACCCAGGTACTATAAAATTTCTATCACACTTTTGAATTTTCAGGTAAAACTTATTACTCTAATGTTGATAACAAAAAATAGAGGACTATTTTTTGTTTTGGGATCTGCTCTGTAGAATGTCTTCTCCAAACAACAGTTACTGCTAACACACATCCTAACACAGTCTCACTTCTGTGTTCTACCACTTTCTCTGCAATGTGTCTAAGACAAGGTATCTGGGAAGTAATACTTGCCTACAAACAGTAAATGAATACACAGCCTGAATTATCAGAGGCAACCTCCATCCTCAAAGCTGTATGTTCAACAGCTTTCTGCAGGAGTGGTGTCTCTTGCTAAAGACATACCCACCCTCCACACACCTTTAATTTTATGTTTTGTAGATAATTCGCTTACCACAAGAAACTGTAGCAAACAAGGAAAGGAAATAAGCTGATTGCCTGAATAAAGTCATCCTAAAAAAAAGAAAATAGCATATATATATATAACTCTGGTGGTGTATACCATGTTTAACACATACTTAACATGAGCCTTAATTTAAGGTGGTATAGATTTTCTTGTAAATTTCTGAATTGCAAGTCAAGGCATACAACTGCCAGCATAGAAACAAGGGATTTTTTTGAACGTTTTGTGTCTAGGGACTTGGAAAATTTATTATGCTTCCCAAGATACAAATTGAGACTTCTAGACTACTATTGTGTCTATTGTTGATTTGCCATCTCTACTGCTAGTAATTTTGCAAGTGTAATTGGTAGGGAGAAATTAAACATTTATGAAACCTCTTGATTTGAGCAAAAAGAAAATTATTGTAAATAAGGACAATCATACCAGTCCAAAATCCCTAGGTAAAGAAAACCTCTGAAAATATTTAAACCCATTTAAAAATCTTAAACCAGTAAAATATTCTCTTCAATTTAAAAATATCTTACATTTAAATATTTCCACATATGAGAACATGAGTTCCTTCTATGATCTTTATCCAAAAACTCAGAAAATTAGAACATAAATTTTCTTCATGAATTAAAAATTGTACTTAAAATTATACTTTATTTGGGAGCAATTAGAATAATAGAAACTTGCTACCTGAAAACACAATTGCTTCTGTGGCTCTGGAGGTGAGGGAGTCTCTCGTCACTTAAAAATGAACGGTCTTCAAGCTGTTCTAATGTGGCACTGCAGGCAATATTTGCTTGGCTCCAATATTGACTTTGGGTTTCTGCCAACAGTTTCAACTTTTTGTCCTGTCAACATATTTCATGAACATCCTATCCCTGTGTTCAGCTATTAAATATATTAACTATTTCAGGGAGTGATGTCTGCAAAATGAAAGAATATGAATTTTCAGTGCTCATCCCTTTGCAGAAACATTAATTTGAAAAACTATCCATGCACAAAAATAACTTCCCAAGAGCTAAGGAATCTGGGTGAGAGGTTTCAGGACCTTGTTGCAGCACTGAAATAAAAATCCCTAGGTAAAGAAATCCCTAAAAAAGAGAAATAAAAACAAAAAGGGACATACTGAAGAGAAAAAGAAGGACAGTTTCACATCACCAGTGCCACCCCACTCCCAAGCCTGTGCAAACAGCATGGAGAGAGGTATTCTTTGCACGGGGAAGAAAAGAAAAGTAAGTATCCAACTTTGCCACAGATCCCAATCACCAAGCCCACCCCAGTAAACCCAGCATCAAAAAAGCCTCAGCAGCTCCAGGCACCAGGCCCAGAACCACCACAGAGACATAATATCCTCTGTGGCCCCAGGCCCAGACCCACCCAAGATCATGCTAGCCCCTGGTTCCTGGATTCCTGAAGACCTAGACTTTAGGCCCACCCCAGCTCCATCCTGGCCCCCACGACTCCAGTCTTCAACCAGGTCCAGAAACTCAATCTCTAGGTGGATAACTGTAGACCCCAAATCCAGGCCAGTCTCTAAAGCCCCAGGTTTTAAAGCTGTTCCAGGACCAGCTCATTCCCCATAGACCCCGGCTCCAGGCTGGCCACTTTGGACTCAGGTACCAGGCTTACCCCAGAAGACCCTGATGCCAGAACAACCTCTGTGAACCTAGGAACAGGTGCCAGCTGACTCCTGGGTCAGGCTGAACCCTGCAGACTCAGGCTCAAGGCCCATCCCAGACCAGGTCAACCCCGAGAGTCCATGCTTCAAGCCAGTTCTTGCACACAGGGTCCAGGAAGCCCCACTGAAGCCAAGCTCCAGGCCTTCCCACCTAAGAATTTCAGCAGCAAGCAGACCCCTAGATACCACCAGATAGCCTGTCCAAAGTATCTGGAAGAGCTGACTGGTGAGTGGCTTTTCCTGATGAAGAGAACGTCTACTATATACCACCATAAAAAACCATATGTCAACTAAGTAGCTAGTCTGTAAAGACTGAAATAAATGCCTACATCTTCAAATGTGTAGATACCACCACAAGGCCACATGGATCACAAATAATCATGAAAACATGACAGCACCAAAAGGACAAAGTAAAGCACTAGTAGCTGATCCTAAATAAATTAACCAACTGTGCTGTCCATCAAAAGAAGACTGGATTTTAAAAAGTGTGTTATATATAAATAAATATATATATATATATATATATATATATATATATATATATA